TGATGTGATTGTGGTAAGTGATCTTTGTGAGGTTAGTGACCACATTTCATCCATCTTTGTATTTCTAGCATGTACCAATTTACTTATGAGTCAGTATTACTCGAGAAATGGATGAATCACCAGATTAGAATTCAGCCATCATTATTTTGTAATTAAGTTGTATCCTGAGATCAGATTTTGCCTTGCCAATATAGGTATAAATTGGTCTTTCTTTTTTTTAATTTAATTTAATTTTATTTGTGAACATACTGTACAGAGGGGTTACAATTGCATGGGCAGGATAATGCGTACATTTCTTACCAAGCATTGAAATTGGTCTTTCTGATATCATCAAAATTATTATCTATCCAAAACAATGTTGGAGGACATACATTACCTGTATTCAACAATGCAGGAGTCAGTATTAATCATGTGTTCCACAGTAAAGTTCTCTGCTATTTTGAGAAAATTCTCTGAAAGTAGTATTAATAATGCTTTCTCTCTCGCTCTCCCCCCCTCCTTCCCTCCCTCCCCTCTTCCTTCCTTCCCTCCTTCCCTTCCTTCCTTTTAGCCTACTATGTTTTAGGGCTGTATCATTCAGCATTCAGTGATGCAAAGCTTTCAAGAAGGTACATTTCTATTCTCAGTTGTCGTCTCTGTAGAGAATCTTATGTTATAGGAGACCTAAAGTAATAAGTATTACACACTCAAGAGTTTAATGACTTAGAATATATTGATACATTTGTACTTTGGTTAACATTAAGTAGCAATAATTAGACAAATTCCCTTTTACCCAAGATACATGTGCCTCTTGCCCAAGGTTCATATTAGGTCAAAGTTCATGGTTGGGAAAGCATGAAATGATATGACTCATTGTCATACTCTGATCTTCCCATATCTCTACCTTTATTTCTCTAGAATTTATTTCCCAACTTATTTGAGTACATATTACATATTTTTGCCTATACTAGCAGCTATTAGATTGAGTCTGACATCATTCTTGTCTACAAGAAATTTTACAGAGTCTCTTGTGAAATCACAGTTTCTTTGCATGTATTTATCATCTTTTATACTTTCTCATGTCTCCTACCCTGACCTGACAAATGCTTAATGCATGTTTGCTGAAGAACAGTGGTCCTTGAACTGAGAATAGTATAATATGTACTTGTTAGAGGGATCTCTTCAAGTTAGATGAAGAGCTCCTAGAAGAGTATTCAGCTAGTATTTTATCTCACGTGGTTTATTACTGGGAATTCCATTGAAGAAATTACCAAAGAGACAATTGAACCACTGTTGGTAGGTTTTGAGATAGTGTGATGAATGGGGAAAGAAATAATATTAGAGTTGGAATAGTTCTTCTATCATCCCAAATTAGAAGTGAAGTCTACTGGTCTATTTTTTATATATGTTTTTATTGTTAAAATTCTATATAGAGGGGTTACAGTTACATGAGTAAGGTAATGAGTACATTTCCCATCGAGCCTTGTTACCTCCTCCTTTGTTTTTCCCCTACCATCTCATCCCTCCCCATGTCCCTAACTCCTCCCTCCCCTCCCCGAAGTTGTAAAGTTCATTTTCAACATAGTGTCTTGTACATCTCATTGTTATAATGGGTCATACTGGTCTCTTTTTAATCACAAGTGACAATTTATAATTTCAGATATGTGTCAGATACTGTCTTGGTAATCTATTAAAGCAATATGTTCACTCCTATAATAGCATTATTTTCTGTGTGCAGAAAGGTCTCAACTTTGTACTTTGTACTTGTATGTTTCACTGTATAATATAATCTATATAATTTCCTATATATAAGCTTAATTTTAATACTTTATATATCTCTACTGCCTCAAATCTAGGAATTTCAAACTGGACTCATACAATGGTTCCTCCAGAAATGTCTATTCTCCTCTTACCTCCTATCATATGCCAGTCAGTTTCATTAGCATCTTTGAGTTCTTGGGCTAAGGACTTTATAGTCATTCTTCATTCAGATGACCACACATTCTGTCAGCTGTAGCTCAGATTCACCTGCAGGACCCAAGCTTACCATAGCAATCTGGCATCTAGATTATTTTCAAAAACTCTGTAATCAGTCTCTATTACCAAGGTTTCTCTATATCTTCCCTCCCATACCTTTTTGGTATTAGGAGTTGATCTCAGGGCATTATACTTACTAGTGAGGAGTAATGTTTCCTTGTTTTTCATATTTCAGATTTTCTACGTTTGATCTTTTGGGGGTATTTCTTCCACTTTTATGTGAAAGCTTTATTAGGGTATATCCTGTTGGTATATCCTGAGGTTCTCAGTTTGTGTAGTATTGAGTTTAGTTACAACTGGATTTTTCAGTGGAGTTTCTTCCTTTATTTGGTTGGTAGATTTTCACATAGAGTATACTATGTTGACAGTTGAGGGGCCCACTTTCTCTGTAAGTCTCATAAGGTAGGGGGGCTCTTCTAGTCCAGGAAGTTGAATTGTAGGTAGCAGAATACTCCTGATATCCCCACTCTGCTTTTGTCAAAAATGGACAGTTTGAGAGGGTAGGGAGCAAGTTCTAACTGTACCAAGTTCTATCATGAGCATGGTATCCACAGTCTTGGTATTTAATCTCTCCTGATGGTACAGGAGAGCATGTCCATGAGTGGGATCTCAGGATCTCAAAGTCTTGCCTGCTTGGTGCTGGGTTGTCAGCTAAGGTCTTTTAATCTGTTGCCTTCTTTGGGTTGCAATATTTGCTGATTTTGAGCAGGGCTGGGTCATGGGTAGAGTAAGGTATAACTTCTATGTATATCAATCAAGGAGCATGTACCTGGTGTATTGAAAGTATCAACCTTGATCTCTAGTATTGTATAAAGAGAAACACAGATAACAATAACAACCACCAGTACAAGCAAACCAGATAGACCAAGTAAGGTCCAAATAAAGACTAGAACACCTACACATTACCAACCTTAAGAACGTAGGGGTAAAAATAATAGAAGATAAAAGGGGTAACATCGATTAAGATATATTGTATTATAAAGTTCTCTGTTAAATGGTAACTCCTTTATTCATCTAGTTAAAGATAATAATTAAAAAGTTAAAAAAAGAAGTGACAAAAAGCTCACAGGTCTGTGGACCTCTTATTAGTTTACAATTATATAATTTATACATTATAGTCATTTCCCTGAGTCTACTAAATAAACAAAACTTATTGAAACAAAACAATAATAGAGGATCAATTAAAAAGCTAAAAAAGATAAGCAAAAAATAGACAAGAGAGAAAGAAAAAGGGAAAGAACAGTAGAAAAAAGTTAAAATTAAGAATGCAGGAGCAAGGTAGGAATTAAAAGCAATAAAGCATCCTCCCAAATAGCAAAAAAATTAAAAGCTTTAAATGTTAAAAGAAGAAAAAAGAGTAAGAAAAGGAAAAAGATTAAATATATGATTCAAAGAACAAATATATACATCCTTAATAAAACCATCACTAGATTATTAGTAGGAGAAGCCACAAAGTCAAACAAGTCTCAATAAGTTGACAGCATTATTTTTACTAACTGAGATTAATTAGGTACCCTTACCTCCTGTATTATCTTGGGAAAGTCAATTATACTATTTTTGCTTGATTTCTCATTTCTAAAATATGTGTAACTACCTGCCTCAAGGATAAGTTCTGTTTAAGGATTAAATGAATTAATCCCTATAGAATTCTCAGCATAATGCTTGGCATGTAATGAGGAACCAAGGTATATAAAACACTGTTGGTATAAGAGTAACAACAGTGCTACCTGTGGTTTAACTTCTTGGAGAATGTTAGATTTTATAACATTTATAACATCTGAAAGATACCCAGCAATTTTAGCTCAGAGTGTATTAATGTTTTTGGCTAAACTTCCAAATCTTTTGTCTTAGCTTTACCCACCTTTGGAAATTGTAAGCTGGTTAATAGTTTTCTGTATTTTCCACTATTTTCATTCACGAGAATTAAGAACTTATAAAATACCTAATGTCGAAGAATGCAGCTGCATTTTAGGAAGAACTAACTAAAATTCTCTTTGGAGAATTTTGTTTATATAAGTAAAATAAGTATTTGCCAGTCAAACCTAGAGCTAGCTTATTTTTTATTTTTTATTACACATATACTATGTTATCTTAATTAATTCAAGAGCACCTAACAAGAAAACAGAAGTTTGGATTCTAAAAGAATATTATACCTGGATTTGGTACCAATATCATAGTTTTGAGCTTGCAAGAAAATAAAAGGGCTTTCCAATTAAACAAAATTTGTAACCAATTCTTTGATACCAAGGATTCTTGCAGAATATATATTACAAATGGCAACATAAAAGAAATCTTTAACAATAACTCAAAGTTCAGATTTAGCATGTACCCTTAAGTAGAAAGGACACTTTGAAATCTTAAGTTTCCAAATAAAGACTGTTATAAAACAGCTGTGTACGCATACCAATCACATAAGGAACTTACCATCTAAGCAAATATTACCTTTCTTGAAACTTAGCAGATTCAATACTAACTAAGGCAACCTCTTCCTTGGAAAGACTAGTTGAATTTTTCAAAATCTGGCACAGTTTTTGTCTTTACCTCTTCTGTGCTCAATTGGCTTTAAAGTCTGCTTATTTATATACAGTTGAATACTGCATCTCATCTATGCAGGAAAGTAGATCTTGTGTAATTTCTGCCAATTTTATTTCTATAGCATTAAATTATCAAACTTTAGCTACACAGAATGGAGAGTTATTTCAGTCTATGCAAGACAAAAGTCAAAGGAAATTCAGTTTAGCTTAAGGAAACATTGTAAAGAAACAATTCTTAGTATTATATGCTTCATACAACCCATTTAAAATGGCAGAGATTTTCTTTGTTATATGTGTCATGATCTTAAGAGACACATTTGAATATCTAAGCCATCTTAAAAATACACCAAGCTTAGGATGACTCAAACAAAATTTGTATTTTCTAGTCAAATGAAATTACTTCCTCTACACCAATTCTCTTGAAAACCCCAATATTTTACTTCCTTTCATTTAATCTATATAATCTACAAGACCTAAACAAGAATCAGGAAGGCTTGTCGTTTCTCTCTGTGGTAGTTCTCTCTTTTCTTCTGTCTCTGGAAAAGAACCTCCTTCAGCCACGAGAGAAGCTTCTTCTTGGAGATCTGTAGAAGGGTGGAGGGCACTTATGGTAGTCATCTTAAGGGCAACAACTCCCAAAAAGGTGATGATTTTAACTAAAAAAAAAAAACCAAACTAGTTGACAGTTCAATTTTTAGGCTATAATTATTGGGTAGTATTAGTTACAACTTAGAGATCCTCAACTTCAACAAAAAGTAAAGCTAGAAAGATTTCTGGCAACTGACAAACTTTGGTGTGCTCCATAATAGCCCCAAATCCCATCCCAATTCAGCCGAGTTGCCATTGATAGCTAACAGAAACCGGAAGAGGAATTGCAATACATTTCAGAGAGTGGGGGAGAAAATGGGCCTTCCCGTTCTCCTCTGGCTGAAGATTCACAGATGCCCTTATTGACCCAGCATCCACAGCTGCTCCTTTTCATTTTGTCAATTGTCAGGTCCAATATTTTTCTGTGAAGGTTTTTTTTTTCAATGTTTTTGAGATATAATTGATAAATTATATGTACATAGGTATGTAACATGTTTTGATATGGCTAAACCGGTATGAAAACTGTCCCCAATCCCTTAGAATTGTTGCTGCCAGAAACATGCAGAAAATGTTCTTGACTCTCTTTCTTCAGGAGTTAGGTTCTTTCACAGAGCTCATCTTTTCTGATGGGCTTTAGCTTTGAGAAAGGCAGCTACTTAATTTCATTACTAGGAGACAACCTACTTTTCCTCAAATAGCACTGTTGAATTTTGGTCCTAAAAGACATATTTTCCTTTTTTTTTCCCACACTGCCTGCTTGCTTGTCCTCATCCCCTCATGTTCCCTCTCCCTTCCCTTGTCCCCTTTCTTTTCTTCTCCTTTCCCCTTTCTTTTCCTCCCTTCCCCTCCCTTCTCCCTGTGTCCACTCCCCTCTCCTGTCCCTTGTTCTCTGTCCTCTATCCCTTGTCCTCTTCTCCTTTCTCTTCTTTTTGTCTTTTCATGCTAAGTTCCTTTCCCCATTTTTTGTATTTCTTTCTGTTATATGTTTGTGTTTTCTATGGCTATATTTGATACTGGGCCCAGTATAGAGTTGGAGTTGGACTAATATTTGTAGACTAGCCTTTGCTTATTCTTACCAGTTGATATTTAGTGGCTCATTTGACTGACTTCAGGTTTGTATGACTGACTGTAGAGTGAAATGGTGTTGGTAGTAATGAGGGGAACTTCAGTGTATTTCATTCATTACAGGAGGGCTCATATCTGTATGCTTAAAGGGAATAGACAGGTAGACATCTAAACAAGTAAGGAAGATTTTTTAAAATTTTAATTGAAGATTAAAATTTTTAAACCTTTTGGAATGTCTTTTCAAAAAATGGGTTTCATTATGCTATTTTCTTACATTCATTGCAATGTACATCAAGCAAATGGGGCAGTTTTCATGAACATTAGGCCTGATGGATCTAAATGGACAGTCTGTTATCTGTCCAACCAGAAGGTGGCAGTCTTACTTCTTATATTATTGTCATTAGAAGGATATGGTAATATACTGATGTTTGGAGTTTTTTAAACAGTAGTTAGCTTCTGGGCTTTTATGTGGAATTAACCAATTAAATCACATTCATAATACTTGACATGACATGATAAAAATTAAATCTCTGTTGCCTTATGCGTAATGTAAGTTTTTCCTTATGAGAACTGTCCAAATCACTTGCTCATTAATTAATTGGATGGTTTTTCCTTTCAGTATTTAATTTTTTGAGATAAATATATATTTTGGATATGAATCCCTCATCCTATGAATATCTAACAAAGACCCTCTCCATTATATGGCTGTCTCTTCATTCTGGTAGTTGTTTTCTTCAATGTACAGGAATTTTTTGTGAGTGTGTACTACTGGCATTTGAATTCCGGGTCTTACAGTTGCTAGACAAGTGCTCTTGAGCCATGCCCCCAGACTTTTTTTTTAATTGTGAAAATACCGTACAGAGGGGTTACAATTACATGGGCAAGGTAATGAGTACATTTCTTATCAAGCATGTTGCCTCCTCCTTTGTTTCCCCTTCCCATCCCTTTCCATCACCTCCCCCTTCCCCCCCCCCCGTTCCTCCCTACTCTCCTCCTCCCTGGCCAATAACCCCTGTTTTCACTGTATATGATGTTGGTATAATTTGTGGAGGGGAAGGGAAAAACAAATTGTTTAAATAGGGATACAGGTGGACCCATTGCAACAATGAAATGTACAAGACGTTATGTCAAAAAATGAACCCCCAGACCTTTTTAAAAGTCGTTAGTTTTTGGATAAGATTACATTTTTTTTCTTGGAGTTGGCCTTGGAGTTTGATCCTTTTACTTTTGCCTCCCAAATAGCTGAGTTATAAGTGTGCTCCACCACAACTGACTTGTGGGTTGAAATGAGGTTTTGCTAATTTTTTGCTTGGGTTGGCCTCTAACTACAATTCTGCTGATTTCCACCTCCTGAGAAGCTTGGATTCACACTTGCATCACTGCATCAAGATGGCAGAGCTTTCACATTTGATGCAATCCTGTTTTCCAATTCTTGTTCTTATTTCCTGAGCTATTGGAGCTATTCAGAAAGTTGTTGTCTCTACCTATGTCTTCAAGTGTTTTCTTTATGTTTTATTTCTATCTCTTTTTTGTGTTACTCAAGCTTGAATGTAGAACATTGTACTTATTAGGCAGGCACTCTATCACTTGAGCTACATAAACCCTTAGCCCTTTTTCTTTATTTTTCAGATAGGGTCTTGTGCTTTAGCTTGGGGCTTGTCTTGGATCTATTTCTGCCTCTCATATAGCTTGGATTATGGGTTTGAACCACTATTCCCTGTTTGTTCTTTGCTATATGTTTGATCTTACAGTAAGGTTTTGGATTGATTTTTTTTTTATTTTTTTGGGGGCCTGGTTGTGGGGCCTGAACTCTGGGCCTAGGTGCTGTCCCTCAGCTTTTCAGCTCAAGGCTAGCACTCTACCACTTGAGCCACTTCTGGCTTTTTTCTTATGTGGTGCTGAGGAATCGAACCCAGGGCCTCATGCATGCAAGGCAAGCGCTCTACCACTGAGCCACCTTCCCAGCCCTGGATTGATTTTTTGTACAGAATAAGAGACAGTCTTCTTCAGGGGATGTCCATGTTTTCAAGCACCATTTGTTGAAGAGGCTGCTTTTTCTCTAATGTATGGTTTTGGCATCTTTGTGGCTGTAGCTGTATGAACTTAGCTTGGGGTCTCACATTTTATTCCATTGGTCTGTTTCTGTGCCAGCATCATATTGTTTTGTTACCATGGCTCTATAGTATAATTTGAATTCAGGTATTGTGATATTTGTTCTTTTTGCTTACAATTGCTTTTGTTATTTGGGATCTTTAAGGTTTCCATATAAATTTTAGGTTTGACTTTACTATTTATGTGAAGAATGACATTTGAATCTGTACATTGCTTTTGTTAATATAGCCATGTTCACAATATTATTCTGCCAACCCATAAACATGAAAAGTCTTTTCATCCTTTTTCCCCCCGGTAGCACTAGAATTTGAACTCAAGGCCTGCCACTTGTTAGGTTTGTGATTTACCACTTGAGCCACATCTCCAGCCATGCTTTTTTTGCCAGTTATCTTTTGAGATAGAGCCTTACTTCCTGTCCAACTGCATGCCTGTGCTGTGATCTTCCTACTTTAGATTTCCCATTGTTGTTGGGATCACAGGGGCACCCCACCACATCTAGCTTCCCTCTTTGAAGATGGAGTCTACAGAACTTTTCTGTTTTGGCTGACCTGGAACTGGAGTCCTCCCTGTCTCAGCCTCTCAGGTAGCTTGGAATGACATGCATATACCATTTCACCCAGCTATGGGTAAGAAGAGGACTTGTGAATTTATCTGCCTTGGCTGACCTCAAACAGCAATGAGCTTTGCTTTAGCCTCAAGTAGCTAGGACTAAAGATGTGAGCCAATGATACTCTATGTCTTCCCATCTTCTAAGTGTTTTTGTCAATTTGTTCCTCTAGTGCTCCAGAATTTTCACTATAGAGATTTTTCATAACCATAAATTTATATTTAAGTGTTTTTTTGAATGAGATTGTTGTGATTATTTCTTTCTCAGCATGTTTATTGCTAGCCCAGAGAAAGGCTCTTTTCCTAAAAGAGTTTATCAAATCAAAGAGGTTTTTTTGGTGGAGTCTTTAGAGTTTTCTAAGTATAGGATTATATTATCTACAAGTAACTACAAGTAAGCTTCTTCTTTTTATTAAAGGGGTTTTTATTAAAGGGGTTTTATGGAAGGCAAACATTGATCATATTTTGAGGCTAAAAAGTAAGCTTGTTGGTTGCTTCTTATTCAGTTCTTGCCCCCCCCCCATTAGAGATCATTTAAACTTGCATAGTCAGTTTCATTTTAGCTTGACTATTCAAGAAAGACTATTCTTGAAAGTTCAAGAAAAGACAGCTCTTATAAGCGTTTCAGTAAATCCACTGAAATCAGAGATCAGAGACTTGAAATTGACTTGGCATTTTGGTGTAAATTGTGTAATATAGTCATCTGCAAAATGAGAACATGGTATCTCTTTCATACTGGAAATACAAATTGGGTACAGTTTTCACAGGGGGAGATTTATTCTAATGGTAGAATCTTATAAACAAATCTCTATTCTTATTTTCCCTCTGTTCATCTTCTTGCCCAAATTATAAAGACAAATGTGTGTTACTGCCAGGGAAAACAGCATATCTCTTTATTGCATTTTCTATGTGACTATATTTCAGGGCAGTTTCTCCATTCCCTTAGTCTCCATTGAAAAGCAAGATCCTATGTCGTTGACAGAGGACCAGTTGTCATTAATTCATGTTTGTTGTTTAATTTCACAAGAGTAATTTTGACTTGAATTAATACTTTCATATTAATAGTAATATTTCTGATTGAGCAAACTTCTTCTAATTCATGAAAGTGATTGTGTTGGAGGAAAAATAAAGGACTTAATTGAACTCCTTTACTAATTTCCTATGGTAATATATTTTATATGGTCATCTAGTTTTCCAATGACATATGAAATAGATTTGGACTTGATGAAAAATAACATGAAAACCACACACTATGATATATATGACCAATTATTTATTCTCAATTTTAATACAATTTATTTTTTGAAATTATTTTCCAATTTGATTTCATTCAATGCTAAAGAAAATATGGGATAGATGTTCAGAATCAGGAAAGTAAATGAGAGATTTAGCCTCAAGAACAGAGATTCCATATTTTGAGATCTTTGCTATTTTTACCAGTATTAATAGATTAATCTGCAGATTGAAAATATAACTCTACAAGGAAAAATGCCAACTTCAATCTCCATATGCTATCAGTTTTTCAAATTAGCTTGCAATAATATTGATTTCATCCATTGAATGTTTCCTAACTATAACTATTTAAAGGCTCTAGGAAATAAAAAGAAACCACCACCAAAGAATGATTTATAATAGAATATTGAACAAAACAGATTATCTCCCAACACCATTCAGAAAACATTTCAGATATCAAGTTGTGTTACTCATTCTTCCTAATAATATTTAGATAATTTGCTCTTCTAGTGATATATCACTCATAGTAATAGTATTTCTGAGATTGGCTGAACCCCAAATGCTTTAATGTATCACTTGAATGGCCAGGCATCCTTGGGTATTTATTACTACCTGACATATTAGTTCTCATGTGTTCACTTCCAAATTTGGGTCCTTTCTTGGAATTACCTACAATGTCAACATCTAAAGGACAAGCAGTGGGAAAGACATGTCCAGAATTGGATTTTCCAAAGCCTGAGCGGCCATACTCATAATCTGCACTACCATAGCTGCCATGTTTCCATCCTACACTGGACTGACCATGGATACTAAGAAAACGATGTCCTGACCTAGACAAAGGCTGTTCAACTTCAGAGTAAGAATGTACACTACCTTCACTATCTTCATTAACACCTGTAGAGAAATCCCTGCCTGGAGGGTTCCCAGACTTCTCACTTTCCTGGCTATGAAGGGCACTGTCTCTAGACTGGTCCCTGCCAGATCTCGGTGAGCTTGCCCCTCTGGATCCTGGGCGACCCTGAGCGGACTCGGAGCGGGCCCGGGAGTCTTCGTGGTGTTGACGGGACCCTGAGCGTCTCTCGCTGTCCTGGGCCTGCTCGTGGCCTGATCTCGGACCTGCCTGACTGCTGGCCCGGGGCCTCCTTTGGGAAGCCTCAGCCTCACTGCCGGGGAAGCGGTGACTTTCCTGAGAGTCGTGGTGTCTGGAGCCGTCCCTGGCCTGCTCTCGGTGAGATTCCCGAGCTGCTG